TGAGAATCAAATGTGGTAAACTCATGTATTGAAGTAAAATATTGGATATTTTCCATTCTTTCCGTTAACAGAATGTAATCGCTGTATTTGATATGTGACAAAGAGCCTTATGCCATTTTTTCGTGAACTGCTGTTCGTCATACTATGACTAAATCGTCGAGATTAGCAAATGTAGTAAAGTGAAATAACTTGCTGATTCTCTTGTAGAACGACGTTGTGTTCGAGAGAGTCCAGTTCCATGTTGGCGCGAATGTTTTCCAGGGATAAAGGTTTACATTAATCGTTTGTTCGTTATGGCTTTTGATGACATGTTTATTTTTGTAAGATTTTGCTTGGAGTAGCGCTCAGGATTCGTCAGGTGCGTACTTGATAGACCGCTCTCCACGTTACTTTGAAGTCATCCTCAACTACTTAAGGTATGGCAAGTTGATTCTGGACGAAAATTCAAATCTTCAGGGTTTGTTGCCGTTTTCTATTTACTGAATTACAGTTGTATTTTTCAGCCTTGTTAGAAGAATCTACCTTCTATGGCTTGACGAAGCTAAGCGACAGTATCAGAGAGGAAATAAAGGTTCGCGGTGCTTTATGGCGAATTTTAGTAGTCATCGTATTACCTTTCAGCAGAATACGCCTATCGACGATCATTCGCCTTTGACCAGGCGAGAAGTTGTCAACATATTGATGCACGTTCCTTTCAACCAGAACTATCAACTTCGATTTCAAGGAATCAATTTTGAAGGTTGTGACTTGTCAAGTTTGGATCTAAGGAACATTAACTTTAAGTACGCAAATTTGCATAAGTCAAATCTGACGAATTCAAATCTGTCACATTGCAATTTGGAGCGCGCCAACCTCTCCGAAGCAGTCATGGATGTAAAGCTTGGAGAACGTGATGTATGTAGAAACTTATAGGATGGAATTTAGGGAGCCTGTTTGCTGGCCGTGAAGATGATGTGCGCAAATTTGGATGGTGCCTCAATGCGAGGGTGCAATTTCGAAGATCCCCACCAGAGCAGAGCTCTGTTAGAAGGTAAAGATTACTTTTTCTTTTGCAGCTTAATAGTACTCCTAATTCAGGTGCAAGCCTAAAGGGTGCCAATTTGGAAAACAGCCTGATGTATGGTGTTAATTTACGTGTTGCATCCCTGAAGAACGCTATACTGCGCAACTGTGACCTTAAAAGCGCCGTTTTGGCAGGCGCAGATTTAGAAGTAAATTTTCTTATTCTCGAATTGACGTTTTCAATTATTACTGTATTTTTAACTTGAATAGTGCTTCAGTGAAAAGTCGATACTTGCTTTCATTACTTAGCAGACGTCATAAGGAATTATAACAACATCTGAGAGATTTTAATCATCATGTGCCACTGCTTCATATGCACTTTAGCTTTTGATATGATCGCAAGCCAGTCATTATGCCAGGTTTGGTTTGAAATCGTCACTTCCCACGCAGTGAATTAAATTATTTTGTTTCAAACGGCAGCTAATTTTGAGCAGCTAGTACAGTTTAAGTACCAACTGGTTATTTGCCAGCAGGGCGTATGCTAACTTTCCTACTAAGTTCGCAGCTGTCTTACGGTGGAACAAAATCAGGCTCTTGCTTTATGAGTCCAAGCTCTGCATCTATTTCGTTATTCTGTCTACCGCAGTGAAACATTATAACCGAAACCATCCAGCCCGCGTGCTGACGCGGTGACTGGGAGGCACCGGGTTCATTATTGACAGAGTACGGTTTTTGTCTTAACCATGAATTCCTTTTAGCAATGAATTTGCCACCCGTTTCTTCACACCGATTTTCTAAGTCTGTAGAGTGTCGGACTCAGAACCTAGAGCGCTCAGGTTCGAGCTCCGGTCAGGGTAACTCGTCTTTCTTCCTTATGAAGTTGATAAACTTTGTGGGAAGGAAAATGGAGACTACAGATTTTGCTTGTCGCATAGCTGCTGTCAACTTTTACTCTAAGAATTCACTCCTGCCTGATAGTATGGAAATGGAGATCAGCCCTCACCTCCACATTAACTTCTTGAAAATAA